TTTACCGATGAACTTAACATAAGGGTTTGGATTAGAGCTTATATAAATGTTCGGATTTCTTCGGATTTATTCGGATATCGGGTAATACTCGAATTCAATCTTCTGAGTCGAAAACCTATTCGAGTATTTTAGAAGACCCGTACCGAACAATCTAGTTCGAATCGGGTCTAGTTACTAATGATATATCACAAATGATCGTCAAGCTTTCGTTAAAGAATAAAGACAAATGATGTGCAAGTTATGGATGAAAAACTTGAAAGGCTTATGTAAAATTGAAAAAGATTGTGAAGGGAAAAAAGTAGCCGCAAATAAAGCAAAATAGATGTATCTAAAATATTTGAAATCTTTGAATATTCGAAAGATGTGGCGAGAGAAAAAGAGTCATGTCAAGGCATAAAGAAATGGGCACTTCAAAGTGGTTGCTGCGTATTATAAGCAATGCCATTATATTTTATGGACTTCCTTATCAACAACAATACTTTTCTTTTAACATGAATAAAAGTCTCCATTTCTGTTTTTACGTATAACTAGAAGACTACACCACTCAACATTTCTTTATATATTTTAAAATTGGTACAAAATTCTATTTTTTGTATAATATTTTAAAGAATGTAAATTAGTTAGTGTAAATACTAATTTTCATTAAAAAAATGTTCCTTTTCTGCTTATATCATAGTTTCAAATGAAAAAAAAAAAAAGAGAAATGTTAATATTCTTATTAAAATAAATTATAGAATGGGTGGTAAAAGAAAAATTTTAAATGGTAAGAAAATAAGATTAAATAATATTTGTTTAGAGTAATCGAAAATAGTTAATCATTAAAATTTGATACATTGTAATCAAATTTGATTTGTTTTCTAAATGTGTGAAAAGCTTAAAACTAAAACTACTTAGGAACAAATTGAGTAATTATTAGTCTATAAATAGTATGCATGAGTATGAGAATTATATGAAATAAGTTTCTGTATTGGGATATACGAAACATCACATCTTTTGGTAAACCTAAAATTAAAGCATTATTTCTTTAGATACGTGGAGTATCTATATATATAAAGTTAGCATTTTCTCTCTTCTCATGATGCCACCTAAACATCCACCTAAGCTACATTTTTTTTTACATTAAAATAATTTTAAAACATTCATTTAGTGCATATTTATGCTACTTATTAAATTAATAGAAAATTTATATAAATAAAAATAAATTATGTAAATAAATGAAATGTTAAATAAGAAATACTTTCATTATTTATTAGTTAGTAGTAATAATATAATTCAACTTTCATTTTAAATTGATCATAGTTTAAAATTTTAAATGTGTTACTGAGTTTAAGAATGTAAGTAAATTTTAAATTTATGGTAGAATAAAAACAACATTTATGTAATTGTATATATAAAATTTTTAAGGGGAAAAATAAAATTGAAAGTGAAGTATTAGTTTATAACATGATCAAAAAGAAAATGCTTTTAATCCAAATTTAAATATTGAAAGATAATAATTCAAGAGAAAATAACTATAATATGTTTTGAAAATCAATTAAAATAATTAAAAGATCACAATATAAATTAAAAAATTAACAAAAAAATTATAAACCTCCTGCGCGTAGCGCGGGTCAACTGCTAGTATATATATAAAGTTAGCTTTTTCTCTCTTCTCATGATGCCACCTAATCATCCACCTAAGCCACATTTTTGTTTTTACATTAAAATAAATTTAAAACATTCATTTAGTGCATATTTATGTTACTTCTATTAATAGTTATATAAAAAAATTATAAAAATAAATGAAATATTAAAATAAGAAAAACAATACTTAATTTTTTTTTACTACTGGTAATAATATAATTCAAATATCATTTTAAATTGATTATAGTTTAAAATTTTAAATATGTTACTGAGTTTTAGAATGGAAGTAAATTATAAATTTATAGTACGTAGAATAAATAAACATTTATGTAATTGTATATATATATATAATTATAAAGAGGAAAAATAAAATTGAAAATGAAATATTAGTTTATAACATGATCTAAAAGAAATAAAATGATATTTCATAAATTGAATCAAATGCTTTTAATCAAAATTTGAGTATTGAAAGATAATAATTAAAGAGAAAATAGTTGTTTACAAAAAAAAAAATAGTTATAATATTTTTTGAAAATCAATTAAAAAGACAGTAAAATATCACAATATGAATAAAAATTTAACAAACAAAATTATTAACCACCCGCGCGGAGCGCGGGTCAACTGCTAGTATAGCATAAAATGAACCATAAGTTCACCAAACACCCCCCCCCCCCCAAAAAAAAATAATAATAACTAATTGTCTACATATATAAAAGCAATGATTCTGAGAATAGCTATTTATGTGAAAATGTAGATTAGGAAGTGAAAAAGTTTGTGGTAGTATATAAATAAAATAGAAAACTGATGTGTGATTTAGGAGTGTGCTTAAGGGTTAACGCATTGAGGTTATATATATATATATGGAATGATTTAAACTTTAAAGTATGTTGATCTTATCTATTTGATTGCCATTTAAAGATATATTCTATTTTATATTATTTAGTTTTTGCAGTCAATAATCAATCATCTATATTTTTTTTTTTGAATAATCAAAGAGGTTCTGGGCCGAAGCTCATACATCCCCTCAGGCCCGAAACCAAAGCATGTTATATGGTTTCGTCCCAAGCGCTACTCGAACCGGCGGCCTCTAAACTTTTGCCAGAGATCTTTACCAATTGAGCTAATCATCTATATTCCATAACACATATTTAGTGATGTAGATATATGGATGCTCAAAGAGTTGAAGAGATGGAGATGGGTGAGGGTGAAGGATCACCAGTTAGTGAGGTTAGACCACCATTATCATTGGTATCTTAACAAATCTTAGAGCTAAAATTTGTTAAGAAATGCTCTTATATAAGAAAAATCTTAACAAATCTTAGTTCTAAATTTTGATAAGATACCATTGATAATGGTGCTCTTAGAGGTCAGAGAAACAACCCTAAGCAGGCCACAAAAACTTGGAAAAAATCGCATGTTGATTGGTTAAACTGTAGTGTTGGAATCTCTTGGTCAAATAGAAACAGTTTTGCAGGGTGTGCTTGGGTGTTGAGAAATCATGAGGGAGTGGTGCTGCTTCATAGTAGAAGGGTTACGCCTAGCATAAATAACAGACAAGAGGCACAGTTCAAAGGTCTAATGTGGGCATTGGAGAGTATGATAAGTCACAAGGATGACAGTGATTTTTGGGCTGCAAGAGGAGTTTTTGGTTAGTGCTATAACCAAACCGGCAGCGTCACCTTCATATAGATATCAATCTATAGAGGCTGGTCTATGTTTAAAGTCTTTTAAAGACTAGAAATTCTTTTTGGAAAATTCATCTTCAAACAGGGAAGCCTTGTTAATAGCTCGGAGTGTCACCAATGGCTTCTTGGGTTGTTTAATGAAGAAAGAGAGGTATCGCTTGATTGAATTTGAGTTTTTACTTTAGTAAGGGAAGGTTTGGAAGGAATTTTTTGGTAATAAACTATGGCCTTAGATAAGATATTCTCTTAAGGGTATTTAAGCTCTAAGAGCTTACCATTAAAGATGCCCTAAGATTTAGTTTAGCAGGGTTTGGTAGTAGCTGTTAAGCTCATTCATTTGTTGAATCGATGCTTTCTTTGTTTGCTCCTGATGTACATGGTTATATCTATCAATACAGCACCAGTTGATACAAAAAAAAAAAAGATATATGGATCATTTAAACTACAATACTCAAGGTCACTGACAATTTGGTTCAAATTTAATAAAATTTCTTTAAATTTTGGAAAGTGTATAATTTTGACAAAATATAAATGAGAATTTCCAAATATCTAGAATATTACAATTTTTTTGGTTATAAATCATAACTTAAAATAACTAATATTTTCGGAAATAATCTTGTTTCTGGTTTTCGGATATACTATTATTATATTTTCGATTTAATTCGAATAATTAATAGAAACACTTAAAACCTGTTCAAAAGCAAAATATTTTGGTTCAATCCATTTCGTGTTTTGGATGCAGATTTTATGGCGATGTCTAATTTGATATATCAAAAGTAAAGATATACAAAAGCATAACTTTCAATTGCAAAAAACAAATTAATGGTAAACGTAGAAACAGAATCCTAGAAAGGGTGAGTGACATAAAGAATTCTAAATCGGTAACAAAAGATGGTAAACTTTATCCTCATCAATAGGAGTATATAAATATGATTTTGAGTTCTTGGTCAAAAGGTATCAAACTATATGATTGATTTGTTATCTTACAGAACCATTGCTTACTTCACAATGCACAGCTTATAAAAGATACAAAATCGATCAACCCTAGCTCGCAAGAAACTATTTGCTAACTTCACGAATAACATCATACGCGTAATCAGGCTAATCAGTCAATTGCCAATGAGCAAAAAAAAATAGAAACAGATAACGCGAATATTCATATTACTTGTACCAACTAAGGTACACAAAGGTATGGCTAAAAGCTAGCTAATTTCACGAATGAGCAAAAAACCCTAGCTCGCAAGAAACTATTTGCTAATTTCACGAATAACATCATATGCGTAATCAGGCTAATCCGTCCATTGCCAATGAGGAATAGAAACACATTTACGCGAAAACTCATATAACTTGTACCAACTAAGGTACACAAAGGTATGCCTAAAAGCTAGCTAATTGCTTTTATCACCCACCCTATAAAGAATATAAACTATACTACTTTAAAGAAAGAATGATAAGGAAGCAAAAAAAAAAGAGAATGAATAATTCAAGAAACGACACTATTATCAAACTTTTTGTTCAACTAAGCAAAAAGATGTTTTGTTTCAAGCGAAGATTAGATTTTGCACTAGCGAACATGATGAGTATATGATCAAGACTGATACTTTCCACTAAACCATAATCTTATGACTCTTTCTCTACTCAATAATACAGCCAACAGATGCAACCACTGATTGATCGATAAAGAAAATTTTATAATATGTAAAAAGGCTTATCAGGTAGATACATTTACAATGAAGGTGACAAGTTAAGAAAATATGTCGTTGATACATGGACCATTTTATGCAGGACCATAAAGATTGATTAACCATTGTTGTCTCTCACCACAAATGCAACCAGCTTGCTTCATCAAATATAGTAATATGTTATCATAGTATGAATGTAGTAATGTATTTGTCGCTCATAAAATCCGAGTGATCGACAAATAACATAAGAGACCTAAATGATTGAACAACTAGTAGATATTATATCCCAAGATAATGAATGCTTACATGAGCAAACTTGCTTTCGGTTTTGACATAGAGAAATTGAATTCTGAGTTGCAAGGTGTTACCGACAAGTTGCATCGCAAGCACCTATACTGGGAATGACATTGCACAAAAACATTATGGTCAGTAATGAAAGTTATGGAAAGAAAAATTAGTGTAGCTTGACAAATCGCAATCTATACTAAAAGTAGATAACGAGTAAAGATATACAAAGCCAATTAGTTGATGAACGACTGGCAGTTCCGTGAGAGTAATAGAGATGTTTGAAATTCAAATGATCAATGTAATAATGTAAGACTTATTCTGAGAAAATCTCTCACCTCACAATGAAATTGCCAGAACAATACCTTTCATGATCTAAAGAAAGCTCAAGAAACCTTTTTCTTTTCAACACCAGAAGAAAGCAAAAAAATAAATTATAAATGGTTATAAAGAAACCGAACAAGTTAAGTGCCTAGTAGACGTCATAGTATTGGCAACAATCAAAACAAAAAGCTAACAATAACAATACAGAGAAAGGAAAAAGGAAACTATTGCGACAATTCTAGCATATTCACTTATGGAGTCATTCAAATTAATGGATTAGTCAAAGAGGCAAAATGCGGCGTACGAAACTAGATAAAGTATGGTAAGATTCAAATCAGCATTGGCCATTCATATAAAGCAAATAATATTTTCAAGTGATTAGAAAGGAAAAAGAGAAAGCAGTATGAAGAAAAAACACGGTTCTTGCTTTCTTGCATATTAGAGTAGCTGCTATTTGCCTATTCAGTAGCACACAAAAGAGCACAACCTTACACACATTTTCTTCTCTTCTTTTTCGTTGTCGTGTACGTAATATTGATCAACTAAAAGCAGCAAGTAGCTTCTTCTGTATGATTTCCGCACTTAGACGTGGAGATAACCTCGGCAAAATTTCCTACCATATAGTAATCAATCGATATGAATCTTTTTACAGTTCTACCAAACAAAGAAGGACTTTGAATTCAGAACAACACACACCTCTTTACCATCAGAGTTCTCTTTCGCCAAAACCGGTATCTCATACTGATACGCTCGCTCCCACTCGGGATTCGTAGTTATATCTCTCACCTAACAATTCCCAAAGAAACCACATTACTCTCATGAACTCATTCACAATTCTAAATTCTTTGCTTCCGACTCAAAACCAATTGAAAAATGCGTTAAAATCGCAATCGACGATGCTCTAATACCATTTCGGAATCACAGTAATTCCCCAAACTTAACAATTCCGAAACAAAATCATACCAAATGCTATGAATTTCAACAAAAATAACTCCAAATTTCAAATTCATGTTCAAGCTTATCCACTTAACGAATCCAGAATCTTCAATTCACCAATTAATCATTCTAAATTCTGAAACAAAATCTGAGATTTGGATTAGTAAGACCTGAAGAACAACGTCGTGGAGTGAATCGGACCCGGGGGAAAGAGAGAACGCTGCGTTAAGCTTCTCTTTAAGACCATCGCAGAGACAACATCCAGGTTTAGAGTAGAGAACAAGCCTTCTCGTACTTGGCGTCGAGGAAGAAGATAAACTACAGGCCAAAGGACGTCGTCTTGCCGCGAACACCAAAGTCGCTGATATCGCCGCCGTCGCCATTTGTGTTGTCTAACATTTTCTCCGATATTCATATTTTTTTCTTCATATTCTTAATGGGCTTTATTGGGCCATTAATTATCTATTAAGTGATTCGGCCCACACTCATTTACATAACACTAGTTTTTTTTTAAAAGCCTTATCGGTTTGATTGAATTAGTTTTGGTAGAGAACTAGACACCAATGTTGAATGGAAACGGAAACGGATACGGATACGTGGAAACGAAACGTTTTGGAAACGAGAAACGAGTTTTTTTATGAAATTAAGATATGGAAACGTGTTGGAAATGCTAATATATATATATATATATTCAATATTAACATCAAACATAAGTTATATTAATTTTAAATATTTGAAATAACACGTTAATCAAAATATATATACTATATAGTTTAACTAAAAGAAAAATATTAAAACACTGAAATCCAAAATTTAGATATTAATATATCATATATTATTGTATATGTGTATTTAAATTAATTTATTCAGGTTTTAAAGGTATAAAATTAATCACTCTATATATTATAATCAAAAATTTTGTTTATTGAGTTTCTAAACTAAAAGTTTAAGATTTCGTCGGGTTTCCAAAATGGAAACGCGAGTTTCTATCGTGTTTCTAAATAAAAAAATGAGGAATCGTGTTTCCGTTATAGTTTCCGAGTTTCCAAGAGTTTATGTTTCCGAAACGTTTCGAAAATGGGAAACGTACTTCAAAAAGAGTTTCCATGCGACCTAGCTAGAGACGCACCAAAATATTACAAGTATGACTTTTATCTAAAAGGTTATCACCCTTACACTTTAGTCACCAAAACTTATAAATTAGTTACAAGTTTTTAAATCGAATATCAATGTTTTTCAATTTTAATCTATTAAAAATAACATAATACTAGGATCGGATATGCACTATAGCGCAGGGAAATATTAACATATACATATGATTTATAATGATTAGAATATGTTATATTTTTATTTTATTGCGGTGTAGTCGATTACGGTGAAATGTAATAAGTTTGGATAAATTAGTAGAAGGAAAAAATATAGTAAATAATAATATAGTGAGTTTTGATACAGTAAAAGAAAAAATAAACACAATTAAAAATTATAACAGCGCGAAGGAATACTTATCGATATATAATTAAAATTGATAGGTGTAGTAGAAATAGGAATATACGTAAAAACTGTAAAGAATTTGCATATATATAAATTATTCACTTTTAGTGAATTACGGGTCAATAAGTAGATGAGTAAATCAAAGTATTTTGATGGTCTATATAAAACTAGATAAGGGCCCGCGTAAAAAAGCGGGCTAAAATTGATGTTTTCACGTATGAATTAAAAATTGCATGTGTTAAAATTTGGAAAATCATAACATTTAAAGAAAATTAATCAATATTAATTGAGTATCATATTTTCTAATATAGATTAGGGTTATTTATTTTCAAAATAAGATTAAAATTAAAATTTTATTGTAAGAATGTTATATCCAAAGTATTCAAAAAAAAAGATAATTTTTTAAGTTAGTAAAATTGTTTTTGTTGAACAAAATTATTTATGTATCATACATATTTAAAATTCATTATTAAACATTTCATTATAAAAATCTAGTAATGTTAAATTATCGAGCACCAAAACAATTATGAGCTATTCACTATTTTCATAATATTACTATTATCAAAAATCTAGAAAACTTAATTTAGATATTATACCCTAAATATGATTTGAAAAGGCCTAACCCAATTTTTTGTAAATTTTTAAACAATGCAACCACGTTAACCCATTTAATTTAAACTAATTAAACCAGCTAAACCAATTTAATTCATCCAATTCCCATTTAAACCGGTTTACTACCAATTCCAAATTAAACCAACTATAAAAATAAAAATCAGCGGAAGACAGTATAACAATAATCCTGCAAAAACAATTGCATTAACCAAATATCCAGCAAGCATTTCAGGAAATAGCATAAGTAACCTATCATGTTTCTAAGTTCCAGAACTACCAATTCGTAAACAAGTCCAAACATTATTCATAACAACCAGCGAGCCCCTAGCTCATTGTCTCTCATCGCCATAATTTCACGGTCACACCTTTCTTTTAACTGCATCAGAAAAAGAGATGTACAAGTATTTCCATAAATACTTAGTGAGGAACTCATCCCAACTACTAGGCTATACAGTATTAACCATCATTACGCAACCAATCGAAATCAAGCAATTAAAACGCCGAAAACACTCATGGTCGACACCAATCTCGACACTCTATTCGCAAGTCGCAACTATACTCGCGGAACAAAACGTTGGTGTCGAGCGACATCCAAAAAAAATTAACCATAAAATTAACTTAACAATATAAACCATATATATATATATATATATCTTATTATATAAACCTTGGTTTTCAAAGTCAGTCATTAACAAGATCGTGACACGTGTCAATTATAAACGATAAGATGTTGACACGTGGCATAACTCATTTTGTTAATATTTGGATAAAATAGAAATATTATTAACCCTATCGAAGAAGGAAATATATAAAATAAATATTATAAAGAATTAAATATTAAAAATTATTAATAAAATTAGAAAAATAATCTAATTTCAGTTATGTCATTTTGGTTTATTAATAAGATAGAGATTTAAAATTTATAATTAACAAGAATATATGGCGGTTTTTGTTTACAGAAGAGGATTAAGGTTTAAACTTTAATTTTACAATTAAATCAGGTTATTTGTTGGTTTGGGTATATAAATAATAAATAAGAATTATGTTTTATCTTTATAAATTAAAATTATGGTTTAAGTTTAACAATTAAACGAGATTATATGTCAAAACTTGGTTTTTAAATTTACTAACTCACGTGATCATGATACGTGTCAAGTAAAAACATAAGATGTCGCAATATGTTATATCTAATTTTGTTAATATTAAGATACAAATAGAATTTTTAAACAACATTAAAAAAAT